TAATAATAATAAAATTAAACTAATAAATAATATTAAATTAATCAGGAACAAATTAATAATAATCTCAAAACAATTTAATAAATATAAGAACCATCCAAATTTAATATTCAACTAGTTCATATATCGTCTAAATTTCTCAACAAAAAAAATCCAAAATCATCATAGCATGTTTAACGATCTTGAATCTCCGAACGTTGGTCTTGAACAGTTAATGAGAATGAAAAACTTGGTCTTGAACAGTTAATGAGGATGAAAACCTTGGTCTTGAACATAGACTAATCTGACAATAACGAGCAAACGATATGAAATATTCCAGGAAGTATAAATTTGAACCATAACCAAAAAAATCCACAAACAACATGAAAGGTAAAAATACAGGGGGTAAAAATATAAAGACTGAAAGGTGTGCAAGTCTCCAATAACCTAATACACATAGACATAGGCAAGTACAAGTCCTTGAGCACCAAAAAGCTACGGCAAGAAAGACCAGGTTCTTTTAATATACAACTCCTTGACCACCTTTTGTAGCAATGTCTCCATGGCCCACCAACTTGGTCAAAAAAGTTTTAAAGAAAATGAATAGGAGGTAAGCATCGATAAACTGAAACCTTAATGTTTTAGTGGCACCATAAAAGTCATTCCTCTACTTGAATGTAGCAACACACCACTAAGGATGAAGCAAAGCGTGATTAAGCCTGCTGCCTATATCCTTTTTTTAGAAACAAAATAAAATGCATCAGAGTGCGTTTGCAAGAGATTAATTAAAGGGTCATGCAGGTAGCAATTGGTTTAGCAGGAATCAAGTAGGATGACAAGTTTTTCTAATCTACCAGTAAGAGGCTTACAGGAAGACCATATTACAGAAAATTGCAATATATGCTTCTAGCTTGAACACTGAATTTGATCAAATTCTAAGGGGGGTCAAGTCCCAATATTTATTTTGTTTTAAACATTACAGCATGATTTTCTTCACTAAATACCCACATTGACCTTAAGCCAAAATACATATGTAATGAGCCTCACTCGTATTATAAATGAAGTCTCTGTTCAGTGATGTTCAATTACATGGTTAAATGTACAAACCTGAATTACAGGCTTATGTACAGCTTAAACCAGAGGGGATTTCTATATGTGTAAGCTCTGCAAGACAACCATTGTAGACGATATTAATCATTAATCGTGAACTTCCTAACTTAACTGAGACATACACCTGCTTATGGTGTAACAAATAGACTATGTAAATTGCTGAGTCAATAACAGATACAGTTGAGTCATTATGTAGTCTTTTTTAACTAAAGTTAAGTAGACTTGGACATATGTCTTCCCGGGACATCAAGGAATCACTAGTTTATCACCAGTTCTAAATAAAGCAGAGATAAGGATTTCATGATATCTATCCACATTTCAACCAATGTTTATATTATAAAAATCAAAATTTATCTATAAAATAACTACAAGAATGACACAAAATTTGTTAAGGGTAAGAACAATAATGACACAAAATTTAAGTGAACAATCAAAGATTAATTAGAGTGTAAGTAACTAAATAATATATACCCGAGCTGATCTGATATTCTTGAGAGATGTATCGAGCTGCCTTTCTAGCGACTCAAGCTCCTTGCAGTTGAGAGGGCCAAGATCCTCACCCAGCAGATTCCTAGCCATTAGCCATCAAGTACTCAGTTGGTTTGACGATCGATGAACGATATATTAATTAATTAACGCTCTTTAATTGTGTTTCTAACTTTGATTAGTTAATTACTTCTGGGATCGTTGTAGTGCTTCATACCGTGTCTTAAGTTTCAAGTACTTCTGCTGACTACTTTGCTTCTACTTGCTTTCTTGCTTTTGACCACAACACTCCCCAAATATGCTCTTTTTATCACATAACTGTTTACAAGGAATCCATCTAAGAGATATCAATTCCATGTGTACATCTACAAAACAATTGGTGATGTAAGAGCAAAAAAATGTCAGAACCTGCAGAAATATGAAAGAACAATCAAAGCAGCTCATTTCATTTATTTAGCTGATTATCAAACACATGCATATGCAGATCTGTTATGCATCTATATATCGACTTTCGGACCTGATAAACCAAAAAAGAATGTTTTAAGACTAATGGACCCAAAAGTTGCATTAAAGTTGAGAGAAGCAATTTCTTTAAGACCAAACTTAGAACCTACAAGGTACATAGCCAGTAAAACGAGTTTTTAACAATTACTACTTTATTCTGATTTGGCTAAAATGCTAAAGATTACATCATGCTAAGAGGTTCTACTTTAAATAACAAGGAAAGTGCATCTAATAAGTAATAAGTACATCAATTTTATGGATGGGTGATTGGGCATGGAAGACCCAAAATAGTCCATGTTATATGCAAATTGCCTCCTCCACTTGAATGGATCAATTTTAGGGTTTTATTGTCATTATTTTTTGATCTGGGTTTGATATAGATTTACTTGAAATTAAGTAAAACTTAAGAGACAGTAACTTACACAAAATTTGTACTACTGCACCCTTTCCATCAATTCTGAAATCTCAAGTTGCTTGACCACAATGGCATGTAGTACCTGTGTGCAATGGTTGGTGAGGAGCTCAAGTCAAGAAAACTAATAGTGATCATAAGGAAAARWTTTTGAGGATGTAAAAGGAACCTACTTTCTTGGTTTTATRAAGATCAAGTTCTATGACTTGATCCTATCTAAAGAATGTTCCAATATCTGCCCTTTTATGTAGGAATTTGGACAGGTTTCTTTTTTAGTTCTTCCAACATTCTTTCATGTGCTTGTAGACACTCCAAACACCAGGCAAGTCTCCAAATGAAAGAAAATCAGTTCTCAATGCACGATATTGTGGAGCTGGTAATTGTAACATGGGAGGCCATTCAGGTGGGGTACGAATGGAATAGGTGACAACTTGATGCAAATCTGAGTATTGGATCCCACACACTCTCTCTCATTGGCCATCCTCGTCTTGATCAATATAAGTGAATCCACATTTGTTGGAATTGAAGCACATAAAGAACTATAGAGAAGAAAAGTACCTTCATAAATGTACTTGTGATTCTAAACTGTAATGCCTTCGTATCCAAGCTGCTGGAACTTATGCAATTGAGCTCACAACTACAGATCTTTAAATAAATTTGAAATTTAATTTAAAACATGAATAAAAACTAAAACTGGATGCATTAGATGGATTCAAATCCCTAAAAAAGAATACTATATTAAACAATGTGGATTCCACCAGAATATCATCATATAAAACCAAGTCATGAAAGAAAGGGGTAAAAGATAAAACATACCCATTATAATTCTTTGGGCTCCTCTATAATATGAATTGGTTAGAGTTTTGAATTCTGAATCTTTCCTGCCCAACTGCAAATTAAGAACTTATATAGTTTTGAACTTGCAAACATATTAAAAAAAATCTCTCTTAAAAGTAAGTTGTTGTATTGAAATCCAACGTCGCCTACATGAACAGAGTGATACTGCTTCAGCTAAACAAGGAAAATGTAGATACAAGGATAACAATCGAGCCAAAAATGTAGATAGACTTGAATGTTTTGCACTACAAAGTAAAATCTCTGACGATTCGAGGACTAAATTACCATAATTAGGCTAAAGGTAGAACATATGATGCACTTTAAAGCTAGAATAAAGTAGTTTTCATATTAATCAAGTTAAATATGAAATATCGATTAGTATTCAAGCCACATACAATCTCTTACCATGACTTGGAAAGCTGACTATTATCAACCTAAATTCCAAAGAATTAAAATTTCAAGAGCAAAAATAATTTATTTGTATTGGCAAACAACACACAACTAAATATGTGCAATATCATGGGAACCAATGGCAAATTTGTGGTTTATATAGAACTAAAGAACACTAGAGCTTAGTTCAAAGCCTATCCATTAATTTGATATTGAAACACATAATATCTCAGTTATGAAGACTTTACCTATAATCAAAATAAGTTAACAGAAGGAAGACTTTACCTATAATCAAAACCATAAGAATCATATGAACTTTTTCCCGAGCAACACCGTCCTCCGTAATCGCTGCCAACGTCGGCCTCCAGTGTTTTGTCGATTTACCCCGTCGATGACTAAGAACCTCGGTGGCGATGCTCTCAACCACCATGGAAGGCAAGGAGAACGACGTAGGAGGCGAGAAGAGAATGATAAACTAGGGCTCAATTCGTTACGAAAACCAGGACTCACTTTCTTATATAATTTGGATTTATTTATAAAATCTTTTACACACGCTTATCAAGTTACAAAAGAGTTACTAAACTATTCATCCAATTTTATTTATTTTTGGAAAACCTTTTAACTTTTAGGAAAACTTAAGAAAATGTAATTAAAGTTTTTTTTTTACTTTTAGGGATGCTTTTCTTAGAAGTGTCTCTAAAACGTATAGAGACATTTTTTATAGTGTTTTCATTGACTAAAAATCCTACTCTAGTAGCCTCTTTAGTTTTAGTTACTCTTTTTTACTTTTGTAGTTTCAATCCTTCCTTAAAATGCTTCTTTAAATACATTTACAAAACCTTCTCTAAAAGTTTCTTCTCTAAAGCTCATTTTTCTTGTAATAAGATCGGCTTTACTTGAATTATACAAATCATGTGATGATGCCAAGATGAAAAGTGAAGCGGAAAGTTTGGTGAGTGCAATCGAAGATTTTGAGTTTTTACTTGGTATTATTATTTGGTATGAGGTTTTATTTGCAATAAACATGGTTAGTAAAAGGTTACAACTAAAATCTATGTGCATTAATGCTACCATGGAACAATTTGAAGGTGTTGTGAAGTATTTTGAAAAGTATAGAAAGGAAGGGTGTGCGTCAAGTATAGATACGGCTAAAAAAATAGCATGTGAAATGAATATAGGTACTACATTTTTAATTAAGCGTCGTAATTTTAGGAAAAAACAATTTGACGAAAATAATAGTGAATAAGAAATGCAAGTATCGGAAGATGAGGCCTTTTGAATTAATTATTTTCTAACCATTATGGAGATGTCAATTTCTTCATTGAATAATAGATTTGAACAATTAAAGAAATTTGAAAGTATTTTTAGATTCCTATTCGATTGTTATAAACTAAAGTCATTGGATGAAAATGAATTGATGAGATCTTGTCATCATTTTGGTGATATCTTTTTATCATAATTCTGTGGCGGATGTGGATGTAAATGATTTTTATTCTGAATTAAAGGTGTTGCAGGTGACTTTGCCATATAAATCAATGACGACAGTTGAAATTCTTGAGTTTTGCAAAGTTGTAGATTGTTACCCTAATGTTTCGGTTGCTTATTGAATTATGTTGATAGTACCTGTGACCGTAGCATCTGCCAAAAGAAGTTTTCCAAAATTGAAGTTATTAAAGACGTACTTTAGGTCATCAATATCACAAGAAAGGTTGAATGGATTGACAATACTGTGCATTGGAAAAGACATGCTTGATAATATTGATTTAGATGCTATCATTCATGATTTTGCATCCAAAAATGTTTGAAGAAGTTGTTTTGTATGAATTATATGCTATTATTGATGATTTTATATCCGAAAATGCTCGAAGAAGTAGTTTTGTATGAATTATATGCTATTATTGATGATTTTGCATCCAAAAATGCTCAAAGAAGTTGTTTTGTATGAATTATTAGTATTTATTGTATGAAAATTTGTTTTTTAATGATTAAAAATATTTATTTAAGATTTTTTTTGTACATCTAAAGGGCCCAAAATTTACAAATTGCCTAGGGCCCAAAAAAATGTTAGAAACGAGCCTCTTTGTATATGGATCATTTTCGTATACGATTTTTTTTATGTGGATCATTCTTCATATTGTTTCATATATAAAAAAATGATGAATTTTTGTATATGGTTATGAATTGTTTTTGTATTACAGTTATGAATGGTCATGAATTGTTCTTGTATTACAGTTATGAATGATTTATTTATCAAAGAATTAATAGTTTTTAAGAAAAAAATGAATTATTCCTAAAAATACGAAGCCGGTTACATATGGTAACCGAATAAGATATCTAAGGAATTAATATTTTTTAAGAAAAATCTGAATTATTCTTAAAAATACAAATTTTGTAAAAAAACCCAAATACCCTTGGTTGTAACGGTTGTACTTTTTATGTTGGTTGCATTTGAAAATCTCTCTCTCTCTCTCTCTCTCTTTCTCTCTCTCTCTCTCTCTATATATATATACTAGGTTCGACCCCATGTATTACACGAGGTATTTTAAATGAGAAAAACTCTGGACATTAACTTTGAAAGAAAACTCTGAACATTTACTCTGAAACACAAGAATTCAGAGTTCTATTGTTAGGCTGAAAAATTACTCTGGACTTAACTCTGAATAAAAGGAATTCAAAGTTGTCTTCTAAGTATAGAAAGTATCTACGAGCATAACTCTGAGTCACAAGAATTTTGACTTCTTATAACTTAGAAATGTAACTCTGAAGAGGAGTTTAGAGTTGTATTCTAAGTCTGGGAATAAACTATATAACTAAATTTGGAACAGAACAATTCAGAGTTATGTTGTAAGTCTGAGAAATAACCAATATCTTCTTACTTCATGTTGGTGATTTGTATCACTAATGTCATTTAAGTGTAATGAAATTAAATTGTTTACCAATGTAATCATGATAAATATCGAACAGGTAAGACAGGTGCGGAGTGCATACTTGTTTGAGTTTATTTTGATTTAGGGGCGAAGCCCCTAACGAAAGGGGTCCGAGGCAGCGCCCCTGGCTGGGGTCGAGCTGCCAAGTCAGCTTGGAATTTTTTTTCCGGGTAATATTGCTTTGTGAAAAATGCTTCAAAAATCCGAATTTGAAATTTTAAACCCGGTTTTGATGACCACTCCAGAGTTAAATTCAGAC